AAGTTTCAAAGTCTTGGATTTATGACTAATAGATCTTTTCTTATTACAGTTTGTTTATTGTACTACAGCAGGATCATCATATTTGTGATGGATCCATTCAATGTTTTAGCAGGAATGAATGCCTGAAACCATGGATAGTAGCAAAGCCTATATACAACATTCAAGGAAGCAGGATAAAGGTCACAAGGATGTGAGACAAAGGCCACAAGGCCTGCCCCCTTATCTTTTGTATATAGGGCTGTGGTAAACTGCAGATAACTGAAACCGCAGGTACCAATCCCATGGATACAGGAGTCCTACTGAATATTTTAAACTTCCTCTATAACTAAGATACTTCATTTGCTCAAAACACATGTCTTGTTTCATTACATTCTTGCTTCTGGAATGGAAAACTATCTAGGAGAAAATGGGAATCTACCTGCCAACAGCTGTTTCATCCTAGTAGACAGAGTAGAGAACATCCCTGTATCTGGACCACTGAAGGTAACATGTCTGGGAAACATTCCCACTGGGCATCCCTGACTGACAACACAAACTCTATAGGTCTGTGGGATCTTAAAGACAGAATACAGTGGTGCCTCGCTTAATGATGTTAATTGGTTCCCAAAAAAACATCGCTATGGGAAAACATCACTAAGCGAAACACCATTTCCCATAGGAATGCATTGAAAACTGGATAATCCATTCCAATGGGAACGGATTACTGTCCTTAAGCGAAAATCGCCATAGGAAACATCGCTAAGCGAAACACGGTTTCCCCATTGGAATGCACTGAATAGGTTTCAATGCATTTCAATGGTTTTGACAGGTCCATTTTCGCTATTTTAAGTGTGTATCAAAATGTTCAAAAACTGTTTAAAATGCTTGGAATCATTTTGGTGAACAGTTCAATGCATTCCAATGGGGGAGAAAAAAATTAACCAAAAATTAACGAAGACTCAGAACAAAGCCAAATTAAGTTTGCAAAGGTTTTACAAGGTGCACTAATGATTCCAAGCATTTTAAACAGTTTTTGAACATTTTGAGGCACACTTAAAATAGCGAAAACGGACATCGCTAAGCGAAACAGGAGGACCTAAACTGTAATCGCTATGCGCGGCATGGTCCCAAACATCGCTATGCGAAATTTCCCCATAGGTAACATCGCTAAACAGAGCGCAAGATCACTCCTAAAACCTCATCACTAAGCGAATACATCGTTAAACGAGGCAATCGCTAAGCGAAGCACCACTGTACTGTAGCTGAAAATCATAAGGGAGTAAAAACAATGTCTACAAAGTGTTAAAAATGAGGACATCTGTGGTGAGAATATGGGAATATTCTGAAAATAACAGTGAAAAAATCCAAGCTTTCTAGGCTTGGGCCTTAGAGAGCCTTATCAACTAGGTATTTAGTTAACAAATGTTGAAACCCATTTAAATATTTTTAGCACTACATTGTAACAAAGCAGGCTGAGGTAAATGCAAATTCAGTCATCATACAGTTAATAAAGTGCTGTACAAACTCAGGAAGAGGTGCTTCCTCCTAAATACCCCATTCACAGTGGTTGATCAGCAACAACCTTAGCTGCAGTTAAGTACCAACTCATGATCTGGAAAGTATTTCTCCTCCTTAGCTATGGTTAAGATCCAGCTAACAAACTGCTTAACAGTCTTCAGGGAAGCTTGTGACAGAGTGAGGGGATTTGGGGATGAAGTGCCCCACTTAGTTCCCAAGCCTGCTGGGAGAAGAGGGTGCAATTGTTCTAGACAGAAAAGAGGTGTAGGGAGGGAGGGCAGACACCTGGTTCCTGACAGGTTAACCATGGTTATCAGGAAGCCAGTGTTAAAACTGCATTAATCCACAGTCACCTTAATAAGGGTGGGCATATAAATCTATGAGGTAGCAAGTCTCCAAACAACATTTGTAAACCAAATCAAAAGAAGTACATATATATACCAACAGTACCGAATTAATGGCACGTTCCTGAATTTCAAAGAAACATTATCTTGGTTTTGCTAAAAATTGAAATATATACTTTATAATGAAGAAACAGCCAAATGGCTCTCATATAAAATTAAAAAGAAAGGACTAGCAGGTTTTTGTTTCTTTAAATTACCACTGGTAATACCCTACACATGGAACTGCAATTAACAAAGAGACACTTTCACCTAAAATACATGCATCGAAACTTGAACCAGGCTCACTGCCTAATCCTTGGAACAGATGAAAAAGACCATTCTTATTTTCAGGGGAAAATATTAGAGGCAACTACGGTAAGTCATCCAATCATGTGACAGGGCCAAAAAAGAAAGCCTTTTTGCTGGAAACTGCCATTTACAAGTGCTTCAGGGATTTAATCTAACCCTGCCCAAAATACGTTTAATTAATCTCCACAGTGCAGTCATTTGTCTTCACCCATGCAGAAAGCGAATTCTGAATGGAACCAAAGATAAAGATCATCTTACAGAAAGGCATTCCCTTGAACCAACTGAACACAACTATAAATGTAACATTAAATAGCTGCAGGGTTTTTGGAAAGGGTGCTATGCGGCAGGACTGATGACACAAGGAGACGGAAGAGCTTTCTATCTATAGGAAGACTGTTTTGTCAGATGATAAAAGAGATCCATTTGACATAATCCACTGTGCTCGTAATTTCAGGACAATAGCATATGCAATTCTTTATTAGCACTGAGAAGAAAAGAAGCTTTACACATAGTGGAATGACATTAAATTACACTGCACATTATTAGTTTTACAAGACTTATTCATTAAGATTAAAGCAGCACTTAATTTTTTAAAAAAAGTATTAAGAGAGCTTTGTAAGAACTATGGCATACATTTATCATGCTGGCCCAGTTTCAAAAAAACAAAATAAGCTGAGCTACTCACTGAATATTTTTCAAAGGGGGGGAGGAGTTAGATATATTTTTCCAAGAACCACATTTCACTACATTCTTTGCAATTCCATTAAAAATAACAATAGTTAAAGATAGAATAGTCTCATTTTAGAACAACGTATTATGCATGGTGAATTCAACAGAGACATTACATAAGACTACAAGACGATACAATTAATAGCATTTTTACGATGAACACCACTTTTTTAAAAAGCTGGCACATTCCCAGAATCAGTTGCACTGAACTGACACTTCTCAAGGAAAGCCAAAAACAACTGAGCACCAAGTTCCATGCAACAGGGAGCCTCAAGAGCTGTTCTGCAATTTACCAAGGACAAAGTTCCAAGATATTACAAAAGTTTCAGAAGTCTGATTGACCAACCTAACTTATATTTTCACCAAATGAACCAATATTACCTCATACAGGGATCTGTATGTCAAACAAGAGCTTGGAAATTGTACCTTTTTGAAATACGACTCCCACAAGCCCAACAGGTAGGAGTTGTGGGAAACCTAGTCCCCCATAAAAAAAGAAAAAGAAAACAAAATCAATTTTTCCTAAGTATTGTGCTACAACGTGATTTCAATTACAGTTTTCCCAATTGGGATAGAGGTTCCACATCCTTTGGTCTCTGTGGAAGAAAAAGGAATCGCTAAAAGAGCTAAACTTGACAAGTTGAGGAGGGTAAGTCTGAAGAAAACTTTATGCAGTGAAAATGGGGTGAATGTATGAATAACTGTGTGATATAAATTTATATTAGGACATGCACAATCGTTAAGCCACCTTAAGAAATTCAACCCACAAAAAGCTTGACAGGACTCAAAGCTTGGGCATCTTTTTGCCTGGTGGGTTGTTTATTTTGATAAGTCATAAACTGAACGGAAATAAATTACATATGACCATCAACTATTCACCTTAAAGTAGTGGAGGAAGCAGCCTCTATATAAAGATTGCAGAATGGGTGATATCAAAAATGTTTTTGTGCAAGAGGAAGGCACTTACAGGCACTTTGGCTGGCAACCGCCTTTTCTTTTTTTTACAAATTCCTCCTTTGCCCTGGCCTCCCTCTGTCAAATTCCTCCAGGAAACAAGATTTTAAACTAAAAACTGTAGCAGGAAAAGTTAGAGTCTGCACACAGCACCCACAGTTCTTTAGATCTCAGCTCTTTGAGTTCAGTTTTTTAAAACAGGATTCTTACAAAGCATGGTGAATAAATTCATGTTATCAGAGCTAGGAAGGGGGAAATCAGCAATTTACAACGATTGGTGCTGGACTAGGACCAAAGAAGTCTCTGTCCAAATCCACATGTAAGCTGTGGAGCTCACAGAGTGTCCCTTCCTTGGCCTGGCCTCCCTCACAGAGTTGTTGTGAGGATAAAACTGGAGGCAAACTACACACACTACCTTGAGTTTTAGTGAGATATCTGGAAAGCAAGCTCTCTAAAGAGCTGCTCCAAAAGCAGCTGACAGGGCTCTCTTTACAGCTGCTGAAGTTCAAGTGCTTGAGAGAGCAACTGACATGCTTCCTCATAGAGAGGCACAATGGAGACTCTATAAGTTCTTTGTTCACAGGCTGTCTCCATGGCCATATTTCTCATAATATTTCCAATGAAAAAGACTCTTCAAAGAAAACTATTTGAGCTTTGTGGCCATTTTCTCTGGAAAGAAAGCCTGCCCACTTTGAGTTGCCAACAGCCAACAAATGGCGCTGGCACTTGGTCCTCCCATCTCCCATCTCCCATGCCCAGGACTTCTTCTCCCTCTTGGTCAGGGAACAAATACTGTACATATTATTTCATTTGTGGCTCAGATCCTACTTTTGCCCTGCATCTAGTTGCTCTGGCAAATTTTTGAGTCTTAGCAGTTTGCCACCTGTCAAAAGTGTATTTTTTGGCCATTTGATAAAGCAAACATGTGACTTAGCTCAGTTTCTGGCAAGTTACTGGTCCTTATGAGTAGGTAAGCACCTACAGGAGTTATCTTGTGGCAAGCCTTGATGCCCACAATACTTTCTCAGATTTTGAAATGTATCTAGTTGGACTCTCAAATGAAGCCTTTGCTTAACTGCACAGCTTATATACTTATATATTCATAAATGAAGAATCCTGATTTATTACCTATATTCCCGTTCTTGGAGAATTTCAACAGGGTCCAGCCCTTGTGGCTTTTGAATGGGACTGATACGGTTCTGTTTTTGCTGCAGCTGAACAATAGGAGAAGGCTGACCGGGGGCAGGCGGTGGGACAGAAGGACCCGGCATTACTGCAGCAGGCTGACTAGAAGCAGGGGCAGGTGAAGGTCTTCCACTTGGAGGTGGAACAGCAAGCTTTTGAGGTGTGTTGGGAACATTCATGTCTGCACTTTGCCCTGGAAAATAAAAAGGGTACGAATATTTTTTGTTGTTTTTTTAAAAAAAGATCAAGACAAAACAAAACAAAAAAACCCTCAAACGTTCATCCATTAACTCAGTATCTACATCAAATGATCAAGGTAGTTTCAAAAATAAAAGTCATACATTAAAGAGGAAGAAAACACACAATAATGAATATTTGTTTGTTTGTTTGATGCTAAACACTGAAATCTCTACTTACAGGTTCTCAATCAACTAATAAAATAATGTTCAATTGCCAGAAATCAGACATTCCTCAATTCTAGTCTTCATGGATTAAAAAAACTACCTTATTTTTCTGTGTATAAGATGGCCCCATATACAAGATGCCCCCCACTTTTCTAACCCAAAATTAAGAAATCTAAGTGGGGCTTAGCAAGTGTAGGGGGAAAGGGATCAAAGCACTGCAGGATCGCTTTGATGCCTGCTTTCCCCTCCACTTGTTTTTTTCTCTCCTCAGCTTACTTCCGTGTATAAGACGACCCTCAATATTTAATCTAAAGATTTTAGACAAAAGTATAGTCTTCTACATGGAAAAATATGGTAGGTCCCATATAAAAGCAAAGCCCAAGCCTATGAGCAAATTGTGCAGAATCATCTTTCCCACAACTCTTCAGTCTGGCTGACACACAACAGCCAAACTAACTGTGCAACAGCAAGCTTTGTGGCATAGTGATTATAAACTGCAGTACTGTAGACAAGTCTATGCTCACAACCTGAGTTTGATCCCAATGGGTTCAGGTGGCTGGCTCAAGACAGATTCAGCCCTCCATTCTTCCAAGGTTGGTTAACTGAAGACCCAGCTTACTGGGGGTGGGGGCATAGTGTTCCTTGCTGTAACCCGCCAAGACTGCGTTCTAACACTATGGGACAGTATATAAATCACAACAACAAATGTTCAAACCTTGTGTTTGCCTACTCTCCTTCACTCAAGGCACTCTAAACTCCTGGTTTCTGCACATCATAATGTATTGATATGTCCAGACAGCAAACCACTATTTAGGTACACACTGTGATAATATGTAATAATATGTTTGAAAAGCACATAAGAATACTGAAAACATGGGAAAATAATAATAAATTATGATTTATACTTGCCTGACATAGTATAGCAAGAAAAGGACTCCTACTAGTGGAAATATTATCTATACTGCCACGCCTTAAAAATGAAACATAACTTCATTTTGTTCTTATTTATCCATATATCACTGACTGCCGCTGGTTTCTTGTTATGACTACTGTCTCTTAATTATCCCTGAATGATTCTTTGTGCAAACAGGACCATAGGAAACAGCAGGGCAAATGAGTAACACCACAGAGCCCTCAGACAGGATACAACAGAATTAAAATAGAAGCTTGTATTCAGTGGTATCCAATTAATGATTACTGAACTGAGATCCTGCAATCCCATCAGGAGAAAGTGGATGAACTTTAGTTATTCACCTGGTATTCATACATCTGATGTATACTGTCTGTAAATAATACCTCTGGATTTCAGAAAGCTGAATAAGTGCCGTTTTCTACATTTTACTCATTTTATTGATTCATTTAATACATTACACTGACAGAATTTTGCATAAAAAACTTAAAGTCCCTTCTTTCCAAAAAGAAAACAATTGATGTGGAAGTTATTAAAGGCAACCTCAGAAGAGCGAAATCTTGTAAGACATGTGTGTTTTTTTCCCCATGTTGATATATTTGCAAAAATCTTGGGCTGAAATCTTCAGAAGCATAATATTCTGGTGCACTTTCCAGAAAGGAATACTGTTCTCCTGCAGCAGCTCCACCAATGAACTTCATTCACCAGTGTGGGCAAAGAGAACAACTACTTTCACTGCTGTACAAAATCTTGTAAGACATCCCTGAATGTTGCAGGTGTGCCAGAAACGGGGTAGGTAGGGGGGCAAGCCTAAAACTGCCACAGAACAAGTGCTGACCCATTGTATTTTGGCCTGCAGAAGCCCATTTCAATGCCTGCTTATATGGTGCCAATTTATTATAAAACAGATCTTTAAAAGAAGATTACATTGCCTTTTCCTTTTCTCCTTCTCAGACCACTACAACATCAATGGTTTGGCTTTCAACATAAAAGAAGAATGGGCAACGTGCTTCCTGCTGGGGTATTCCTACACCTCACAAATCCACTCTAGAGCCCCCCTCATAAAACATCAAGAGAAATGGAGAGGGGGGCCCTCCACGAGCAGCAGTTTATGCATCAGAGATCTTAGGAAAGTCCCTAAGGTTCCACCACAAACCCGAAAAATACAAATCAAAACTACCTTTCTTTTATTTTTCAGTGTCTATTGTCTATCAGTTCTGATGGCAGTTGGTTCTAGGAGCTTAAACCTAACATCCATCCCACAAAAGTCGCACAATTCTAGTATAAAAGGATTTTTAAAGCTGTTTAATTTACCTTCTGGCCATGTTTTTGGGGCCATAGCTGGTGTGTGTCCTGGCATTCCTGAAGCTACTGCTGTTCCAGTGATGGGGACAACCACTACAAGAAATATAGGAAGAAATGTTTACTAGAATGTGTCATGCAAAAGGACTGTTTAAGGTAAACAAATTTGGAGTGGCTATTGTAGATTTTAGTCGGAAATATAAATATAGTGTTAATTTTAAAATAATTTATACATCTAATACTCTTCTTGTGTGGCTTAGGATAGGTGTATGTGTATACACATATGCACACAACCAAGCTACAACATAATTGTGAGGGAACATCAAATGTTAAGATTCTTCCACTGGAAAAAAAGGACATTGGAACCTTCCTCCACGCTGTCAAACCCAGGTCTGCTACAACAAAATATTAACAAAGAAGCATACTCATAGAAAGGAATCATTAGGATATATAGAATCTTCAGTGAAACACTAATAGCCTTTTAAAAGTTTTAAATATATCTATGTAAAATTAAACGTGAATTGCTTCCTGGAAGAGAAGAGATAACTCTACTCTGAGGTAGAATCTTCACAGAGGGAACCTCACACAGTTCCACACAGTACTTCTTTCTTCCTTTCCCCTTAGTGACACCATACAAGCATGCCTAAGGTCAGCATACACAACATAAAACTTGCATGGTATAAAGCTGCTTTACCAGATGGCTTGTAAATAGGAGTCTGTTGCTGTTGAATGCCAGGCAGCGTTCTCTTCCCTTGTACAGCAAGCTGAAGATTTTCTGGCAACGGCTGACCTCTGGCCAGCATTTTGTATGCTAGAATCTGAGCTCGGAGCTGATGCAGCTGAACCGGACTGAACGGTGAAGGACCTCTGTTGGGTTGACTCATCGCTTGTGGATCTCCTGGCATCATGGGTCCTGGCTGGCTGGGTGGCATCTGGGGTGGAGTTGGACCTCCTCCAGACATTGGACTGGATACATGCTCTCCCAGTGGGGACGGATGAGGAGACATGTAGCCTACAACACAAAATAAAAGATCAATTAACAGTTCCTACTATGCAACTATTCAGCCCTAAAATGTAAGTGTAACATTGAAGCATTGTTAGTGGGTGTTTCCCTAAAGCAGAATTTTAGCTGTTCACTCAAACTACTTTTTGAAAGCTAATCACTAGAACGATCACTAACATAAGTCACAAATAGTAAACTGTTAATTGGTTTTGCATTTTTCCTCCATCATTTGAAACTGATAGATAGCTATTCAGAAATTTTGTATTTAGATAAACAAATAAATTATGTATTTACATTCTCACTTTTAAAAACTAACCTTTGTAACATGGCTTAGAAAAAAACCCACAAAACAAATCAATTTTTAAAAGTTTTAAAACAAAAAAGACAACTTGTTTTGAGGCCCTATTAGGGTAATAGATATAGACATCCACTCTAGTACACAGACATTCCACAATTTTAACATTCATCTACAATGCAATAATGCTAGAAGGTACACTCTGTATTCTCACTGGTCACTAAAAGTCCAACACAGAAAGGCCAGACATATGCACACAGTACTATTCTGCCGGGCACATTAAGAAATTGTCACTGAAGACTTTAATGCAGTGTATATATTTAAGGCTATATATTGATGGTCCTTTCAGAATAGCAATGACAGCAATGCTTCCTTAAAACTACTCATGGTATTAACACCATAAAGCTTGATAGATGTGTAAACAGAATAAGGAAAAAGAAACCCACAAGGCAATGTTGATGTAAGGCTGGCTGTGCCAAACTGAAACACTTGTTGGTCTGGTAAATTTCACTTCCAAGGAGAACTGTTTTTTTAAAAAAAAACATCAAACACCAAATAGCAAAAATGATGAATGAAATAGCATCACTGAAAATGAGGGCCAGACAAAACTGTTCTTCATTTCGAAACTGGTTAATGTTAACAAATGGGATTTAACACATACACACACACACATGTATGTATGTAGCTCCACTCCGGCAGCTACACAACCTCCACCCCCTGTCCGGGACACTCCCTGCTCCGCCTCCAGCTGCAGTCCTTCAAGGCGCAGGCAGCAGAGGGTGTGTGTGGGGGGGGATAGCTGCTGTCCTGGTTCTCCCTCTCTTCCGGGGGGGGGGCAATGTGTAGCCTGTATAATTAAAATTGTAAACCGCCCGGAGAGTGCTTGTAGTGCTATGGGGCGGTATATAAGTCCAATAAATAAATAAATAAGGCGCAGGCAGCAGAGGGTGTGGGGGGGGGATAGCTGCTGTCCTGGTTCTCCCTCTCTTCCCAAGAGTTCTTCCCAAAATCCGACATCGGAAGTTGGGTAATTATATCTTGATGGTGACTTATGGCTCGTATGCCCATAGAGAGGGTTCGGTTCGCCATCGTTGCCATAGATCCTTGGTGGGTCATGCCATGTAAATGCACCCATTATATGAATTACTGTTTATACTTAGAACATTAAATGTAATATATAAATATTACCCTGATAATATAAAATATTTTAAAATTTAAAATGGAGATCAACACCACTCTAAAAACTCTGATTGAAATTCCAAGTATCTTTTAACTCTTAAGACTTTCTTCTATGTTCCTGAAGTACACAGACTACACAAAAAACATCTCCCTTACAAACAGATAAAGGCTGTAGCACAATATTGCAATAAGCTTGATTCCTCAGTTTTATAACCGAGGCCTGGAGTCTTGTATTATTAATCCAATATAGTTTATTGTTTTTTCATCTCTCTACTACAATAAATACCTCAGTTCTGTTACTACACCTCTTTCCCTCTTATACTGAACAAATTATCAGAGTTCTCCACATCTATTCATTCAGTTTAATAATATGCATTCAGCATTCCATAAAATGTATGTGGAGGAAATACTTTATCAGAGGTGTATAAATATAAGAACTAAATAAATCAATATATGAACAAGTCAATAAGTAATACAGTAAATTGTTATTGTTAGTACAGACTTTTAAAGTACATTTTAATAATAATGGGGGAAGATATATCTTTCTCACTTACTTTACTTTTATAAAAAGTAAGCCTTTTCACTACACATTCAATCCTTTACTTGACCTTATTTATTTCCAAATTTTAACCAGAAGAGAATTCATAGAGAGAATATGAAAGAGACATAAAGCCACAGCAGCTCACAGTAGTTCTCTTTATCCCACAACATTCACTGTAATAAGGTTGTATATTCACAAAAACATGGCAGTAAGCCTGGCTTTGGTCTGCACTGCCTCATCTAACAGGGATATATATTTTTCACATGACCAGCATTTGTTCAGCATCTATCAAGTAGCACTCTGTGAATACTGAAGTAGCACAACAATGTCACTAAAAACTGGTGGGTACAGGAGAATGCCAGTGTAAAAACACAGTAAGCGACCTACCACCCAGTAGATGTGCCATGGCCTAAACCAAACCTACAAGGTAAAGATGCCATCACTGCTATTCTATTCCAACAGCACACCGTAGGCTTTTTTCTTTGTACAGTGTCTTTGCCTGTGAAGTACACAACAGTCCAAACTCTCTGTACTGACTTCCACCCATGTCACAAGAAAAATCAATTCTACATAACCAGTGCAGAAGAATTAAATTCAGTGCCAGGTATCTTCCATATTTAGCCACACACATGACCCATGGAGAAGTTTTTATAATGATTATTGTTTTAAAAGAATAGAACATCCAAACTGCAAAAAGTAAACTAGTAAGCCAAATTAGAAAAACAGTTTAAGAATTCTTCCGTGGCTATAGACAGGACAAAATAAGAAAGCTAACATTCTGATCTTGTATAAAGACAAAGCAATACACCTCACAAAAGAGCAATTAGCGTAAAGAACATACACAGAGTGCATGTCACCACAGACCTACCCAAATAAGTAACAGAACAACACAAAGGAGGAAGAAAATTTTGATAAAATGCTTCAGTAGGTTTAGAGAAATGACCCATTGTAACACAGATGTTCAACAACCACTTACATGGCACAAAGGACAATATCTTCCAAAACAGCTGCCACAGTTTCTTAATTAGCGGACTTGACCAGCCATAACAATAGATAAGGAGCTATTCTCACTTGAGAAGCACTATCTTCTGAGCTGTCATTCTGATAAGACATACTGTTTAGGCCAAAAGAGCAAAGGTAAACTCTTCTCAAACTTATTCACAAGTAATTATCTTTTGTTTCAAAAACAGAAAGGGCAAGTTTCTAAAAATAACAGAGATTTATCAGCAAGGCAGCTGTAGATCCAGTTTCCAGAAGAGTTTTCCTCTGAACACCATTAAGGGCAGAAGAATGAATGCATGCATCTCTTAACTGTGTACTACAGGAAAAACTATTCTGATGAAGCCCTGTGCAAAGAAAAGCATGTGCAAAAACGCAGCAGAGTACCTGCACCAATCAAATTTGCCACAATTAATGACGTCATTTAAAAGTATGAAATCCAAAGAGCTTATAATACTAATTTCGATTTCAACGTAGGCATTAGGACTCTCAAGTTCCTGAACACTAATGTGAGCAAAATGAGTTTTCCTATAGAAATTCTCTCCCAATCACTGGTATCCCACATGTTCTCTTCAAGAACAATTACTGTCTAGTAAAGCCCGCAATGTGTGAGCGGGCAAAATGAGTTTTCCTATAGAAATTCTCTCTGTGTGAGCAGAACAGACCAAATGTGATCGCTCTTCTACAGCACAGGAGGCTCTGCATAGCAGCACAACAGGCTACAAGTAGCTCCAATTACATTTCCATCAGACTACTTAGGGCCTTCTCACTATCATCTCTGTGCAACTTGCTCTTTCCAGACAATCACTGCCGGGCAAGTACGGTATGTGGAATTGGAGAGGAAGGAGGAGGGAGAGGATTGGAGACTGTTGAACTATTGGTACAAAGTTAGGGATGAAGCGCTCAAAAAGGTGAGATGGGAGGAATCTGAATTATTTTTGAAAAAAAGACAGGGGGGTAACAGCTTCTTTCTAAATGCTCCCTCATCACTTACTATCCTGTTTCTCTGAAAATAAGGCCTAAAAGACTGTTGAACTATTGGTACAAAGTTAGGAATGAAGCGCTCAAAAAAGTGAGATGGGAGGAATCTGAATTTTTTTTTGAAAAAAAGACAAGCTATTTCCTGATTTGGGGAGGGGGGGTAACAGCTTCTTTCTAAACAACTGAAAAATTAAGATAGGAAAAGCTCCCTCCTCACTTACTATCCTGTTTCCCTGAAAATAAGGCTTAAGTTGAAAATAAGCCCTCAGGATGCTCGTAATGCAAGCCCCACGCCAAAAATAAGCCCCAGTTAAGTGAAACCCTGCCCTCCACCCTTGTGCAGCAACCAGAAGAAGATGACATGACTGTATTTGAATAAATGTAGATGGTTGTATGTGAGCAAAATAAAACATCCCCTGAAAATAAGCCCTAATGTGTTTTTGGAGCAAAAATTAATATAAGACCCTGTCTTATTTTGGGGGGACACGGTATCCCAAAATGTATTAGGAGGTCACGTTACATGTACTATTGTCTGCCATAATTATTTCTCCAATACTCCACCCATAATACTGCTTTAGCATTTACTGGAAACAGTTGTAATTAATCAGTACAAAATCTGGGGTAAATTCTCTGCAATGTGACTGTATGTCAAACATTGTGTGTAATGTAAGAATATAAAAAACATATCCTAGCTCAAGATGGTTCCCCTAGTGCCTTCCATGGGTTTGGAACAAAAACCTTCATCAACTCTTATCACTGCCCAATGCTCACACTGGCTAGGGGCTGATGGGAGCTCTAACTCAAATATTGCTCAGTCTGAGGCTTTGCATATTACATGGATGAACACAACTAACCCGATTTAACTGAAATCACTCCTAAATAATTTCCTATATAAAAGGAATAAAAAAGAAAGTGGTATTGCATCACAGATATGAAAATATATTACATAAATTTTTAAATTAAGTTAGTTTGTTTTTCAAAAGGGGGGGGCACAGGAAGGTACAGTACCTATTCTACGCCACTCACTACCATGTCCTGAAATAACCAGTTCTCATTCTGTTCTATAAGGTTTTTGAAATGCTGGACAATTGTTTAAACTAAGAAGCATTTGTTGTAAGCCTTATGTAAATACTTAAACTGTATTACAAGTGCTAGATTTCAACTGTATATTCCTTGGGGAAATGGCCTTGAATGATGTGCTTCTGTTAGTGTTGATTTGTTTTTTAAAACTGCCAGAGATTAAGCGTATTTTACATTTACCTTCTGTTCTTAGAGCTTAACTATACAGCATATGCTGCTACAAGAACATTTGACCTTTCAAAAGCCTTCCCAGTCTTCCATAAGCATCTAAAAACAAACTACTGCAGAAGTGCTTGCCAAAGGAAGGCAACAAGGCTGCTCTTAGCAGGCAGGAAAAGAAATTAACATAGAGACCCAAGAAAGGAACTGCTGAAGAATATATCTAGCACAAAATGTGTGTATAATCCTTGAATCCACATAGACAGCATAGACTTTAGATAATTTTGATCCTGCGAACATTTCTCTGTCCTCAACAGTGTTCCTTTATTGAATGCAAGTGAAATTCTCACCTTCTGATGCACCAAGACAAACATAGAACACAGCCAGGTACAGTACTGTGGTCTGTCACACTAAAGCTCACATCCCTGTTTCTGGAGGCAGGCAAGCAGCAAAACCAGGAATTTATATCTTTGAAAACTTCCAACTGATTCAAGGTTTGAGTTCCAACAATGTGTTTGAAGAAGTGAATGTATCCATAAAAACTCACAGTTCAAATTCCTTGCAGCACTCCATCACAAGAGTCAGGATGATTCAGTGCTCGAAGATTTGAAGACCTCAACGCTTTTACTGATTGATTATGCAGTTGTCTTTTTGAAAATGTCTTGCATCTTATTCCTATTCTGCACCATCATTTTGGAATCTACAAGGCAGCTACCATGATTTCCATATTATCAATATGGAACAATGACTCCTTGGCTAGGTAAGACCCAACATGAAATCTTAAAATCTCTGAATACTGAATCACCCTGACCTTGTGATGTAGTATTGTAAGGAACTAAAATTATTTGGAGCTCACATAAATTTTTAAGTTGAAGCATTTGGACAACCTATTTGATCCAAACAGTCACACAGTCATCAGTAATATACAGTGGTGCCTCGCTTTACGACTGCCCCGCATTACGACGAAACTGCATTATGACGATCTTTTTGCAATCGCAATTGCGATCGCAAAACAATGGTCTGAATGGGGTTTTTTCACTTTGTGATGATCAGTTCCCTGCTTCGGGAACTGATTCTTCGCAAAACGACAATTTTCCTCCAGCTGATCGGTGGTTTCAAAATGGCCACCGGTAAATAAAATGGCTCCCTGCTGTGTTTTTGGACAGATTCCTCACAAGACAGCCACCGAAAATGGCCACCCTATGGAGGATCTTCACTGGACAGTGAGTTTCCAGCCCATTGGAACGCACTGAAGGGGGTTCAATGCGTTTCAATGGGCTTTTTATTTTCGTATTATGACGTTTTAGTTCTACAGCAATTTCGCTGGAACAAATTAACGTCGTAATGCGAGGCACCACTGTACTGCCCATCAAAAGCAAAGTTCAGAACATTAAATACAAATGCAGCTGTAATAGGACATTGTATATGAAATCATACTTGACACATTGAGATAGTAAATATAGAGAGCCATAGCTCCCACCTGGTTCAAGCCATGTCAATTCTAATTTAAAACAATTTAAGGACAGCTGGAAAAGGTCTCTGCCTGAGGGCCAGAAGAGCTACTTCCAGTCAAACCAACAATCATAAGCTGCCTGATCAAACTAAGGAATGCAGGAACCTTCATTATACAGAGCCAAGCCACTGGTTAAAATAGGTCAGTTGTATTATCTACACAAAGGGTAGGTAACCTATGCCCTTTCAGATGTTGATGAATTACTGTCTCACCACCTATCACAATTGTCCAGATTGCCTAGGGCTGACGGAAACTGAAGTTGAACAGCATCTGGAGTGTTGTAGTTTCAGCAAACCCTTGAGAATAATGACTGGCAATAGTTTTTTTCCATTTCCAATCTGGAGAGGTTGCATACTGATCATAGGGTTTATCACAGGGTTTTCAGCATGCAAAACACATACTCTACTACAAATTGCTTTCTCTATGCCATAGATTTGGCCTTCAACACTAAAGGTTTCTGGAGCAAAGCAAAGGAAATAAAACTATCTTAGATTCATATTTTCTGTGTTCATTTCGAACAGGCAGCTACTTTCTAGAAATGAGTTTATATATGCCTTTAAAGACTTTAAAACAAAGCCAGCGGTTTTACCATAGAAGGTTTGATGTTTTCTGTCAAAACTGGATTGTAGTTTTGCAGATCCTAAAAGTGGTCTAAAATGTGTCAAAAGTATATCTGATATGAACCTTGACTATGTTGATCCATTGGGCTCTGAGGTGGTCCCATGCCGGGATGAGGAGGTCGCATGCCTGCATTCTTCATAGAGCCGCCATGCAATTCTTCAACAATTCCTTTTTCATGCAAACCATCGATGGGCTGTAAGTGTGAAGAGATAATAAATTCTTTTTCAGTGATACACAATTTTAGTCTGGCCCCCTTAGGGCGCTTGTGGAAAAAAACACAAAATCTTAAAACATACACACAGTACATGCATATGAAACATAATCTGTTTATATTGATCAATCGAGTGATAGATATCAATATGAATATTCTCCAAAATAGCCATGGGGAAATACTATGGCACTTTAAAAAACAAACCAATTAACTTCAATGTGCACTTCCGTGGATCAAAATCTGGTATCCACCTATGGAGCCAAAGGTTGGGAGTTTGATTCTCCCTGCATGTCTCAAGAGAACAGCCAGCATGTGTTGCCTTGGAAAATTTGCAAGGTTTCTGGGCTCTCTCAGAAGCTCTGAGTAATCTCCATCTAGAAAATCCTGGCAAGGGTCAGCATATGCCAGAACTGACTTGATAGCATGCTAGTGGCAAGTTCCAGTAATGAGTTGCCTCTAGAACAGGCCCAATGAATCAGTGGTTTTGAAAAGTCAACACCTATGAAAATTCTACTGATTCAATGGACCCACTTTAGTCGTGACTTACTACTGGATTTCAGACAACAGTTCATTGACACAACGGAGCTATCAAGCTTTTAATTACTGGAGCTTACAGGCCTTAGCCAACTGATAAATTGTCTGCCAAGTAGACTTCACTGTTCCAGAAATGCTGAGAGTTGCTTCTGGGACAAAGGTCAGAGTATGGTAAGGGGGAAACGACAGACTCTTGACTTCTACCAAGGAACAACTTGCACAATTTCTGTGACAGCCTGGCATACAGTTTATTTCATGGCTGTGTCCTGGAATCTAAAGCAATTAACAGCTTGATAGTCCAATTTCTGTATTAATGAATCATTGTCATTTTGTCTATTATCCATATCCTCACTTGGTCATGACGTTTACCACCATGGGGATACAAATAAATATAAGAGAATATACTATTTGCACTCATTCTGTCTGGAGAAGTAGATTTTGATCAACAAAAGCTTGCACTGAAATAAATCTGTTAGTCCTTAAAGTACCGCAATATTTTGCCTTTTCTTTCTTTTTCCCTTTAATTTTTCCAATATATTGATATTTATAATTATATAAAACAGTATCAGTTGAAAGTCTAAATGGCATGTCTTTAAAACAGAGAAAAAGATTCAAGTGGCATTAACAGAATCAACTAGGTGAACAGAACTGAGTAAAATATGACATGACACTAGTCTGTTCTGAAGTCACATTCTTTATGTCTTTAGACAAACATGCCAGATTTCCCTCCTCTAACATAGCTCAAGTTATTTAAAAAGGCCACTTCTTGACACTTTTGTTTCTTTTATACAGCACGCTTGCTATACGTTTTGACAAGAGTGCTGAGAACAATAAAATTCTACATTTTGCCATGAACCAAGCTAAAGGCAAAAACCATAAACACCATTTAATATAAACTGGAAGCAAAAGCTAGTGGGTCAAACTGAAATGGAGAACAGCCCAGTCTCTAGCTTTAAGCAGTACCTGCTTCAACAGAAAATCCAAAACACAATTTTTTCCCTTTCAATGTGAATACTCTACCACAGGACTCAAGACTTCCTACGAGAGGGGAAGTGACAAGTAAACAAATCTTAAGACCACCTTCAACTACCTTCCCTTTGCCAACACCAGCAAAAACACAGTGTTGGTTAGAAAAGCCAGGGCTGTGTTAGACTCAATTCACAAGGGTCAAGGAAGACAAGAGGAGAAGAAAGTATCTGAATAATAAGAATAAAATTGGAGGTAGACAACACGATGCAGAGGAGACACTGCCACATGAAGACAAGACAAAATCCACACAACGTGCAGAGAGTACCAAGCAAAGTGGAGGGGGGAGAGGAAGCCCTTCAAATTATAAAGCTGGACATTTTGAAACAAGAACCATCAGCCCAGGATGAAATAAAAGATTTGGTTACTGCTCAGGGAGAGAGAGTACCATCAGCCCAGGATGAAATAAAAGATTTACTACACTCACCAGCTGTGAGTGCAGAGCACTGAGAAACCGCTATTTAAGGAAGAAGGAACATTTGGTTACTGCTCAGGGAGAGAGAGCATGCACACTCCCTCTCGCTTTCCTTCTTCGCTGCCATAGATACAATTTCTCTTAAGAACCATTGTCACCCCAGCCTATACCACCGACAATTTGTAGATCTCCGAATGTATGCATATGGACCAAATGTCTGGGCCAGGAAAAGGGAAGAATCCGAAAAACATGAAAGGTTAAGAAAGAGGAAAGCTCTGAAGGAAATTAGAAGTAAATCAAAGTTTTTCTGAGGGAAATTAGAAGTCTACTAAGCAGTTAGTAAAAGAATAAGTGAATCCAGATTTAAGATGAAGGGGCTGGGGAAGCACCAGAACACACAATGCAGAATATGTTTGCTTTGCTAGAAGTCCCCCTTCCCCCCATTTTTAAACTACTCAAATGGAGCAGGAGGTGGAAGTTATCTGTTCCTTTCTTTTGATGATAAGGACATTCCTTCAACACATGTGCACAAACCACCCACACTCTGAAAGCTACAGAGCTAGACATTCACGAATATGAACAAATTCTGTTACTTCTTCAGACAGACTGAGGCAGCCATAAAACTATTTTGAAAACACTAGAGAAAAACCTTGAAGCAGAAGAGCAGTTCAGATGGTTACAATGAAGATACACCAAGTGAATCCAGGTCAAGGTGTTTTATCGATACAAGATGAAACGTCTAATTTTGGCTAAAAAGCTGATCTTAGCTAGAAAGAAATGGCCTTATCTTTGGGGCATAAGGCAAGTTATCATATATCAAACGATGTAAATTAAGGGGTTTTCTCCTCATGTTTACTACTGGCAGTCAAAGATTAGGAACGTTCCATGGCAGTTAGAAAATCGGTTACAAATTGAAAAGGAGGGGGAGGTTGAGTCAAAATAGCCCTGCAAGGCTAAATAAAGGATAGAAATCAATGCAGATCAATTAACCCATAACATCTTTCTGCCAACCTCACATAATCACCATTAGTAAGATTAAGGAGAAGAGTTATTTAAAAAAACACTACCAGTATGGTAAAAAGGAAAGGAGAACCAAGCTGTCATATAATGTAGTCTCTCAGTATTACACCATATGCTGTAACAATGATAAATAAAAATGCTATGATAACGCATACCAAAGCTTAAACATTTCTTAAGCAATGGGTCCTTTCTTAGAACTGGAAAATAAAATTCCAGCCTCTTGCCCATTTACGTTTCAGGTCCAAGTTTTTCTTCTACAACTAAAGAGTGGTTGTCTTCAATAACTGAAAATAGCTTTCACTGAATATGTTCTGTTGCTTTATAAATTGCAATAGGCTTCTTCTGCTCTATAAGGGGAACCTTAGACTCTCCCTAAGTAATTGAATCCAAAGTCCATTTTCCAGAGATCATTGAACATGAAGCAATTTTTCCTAACCTGGAGCCCTCCAGATACATTGAATTCACTCATCACTTCTAGTCAGCATAGTCATCAGCTAAGCAGGTTGAGGGATGACAGAATGTTGTGATCTATACCCAAAGGGCAACAGAATGAGAGATTTAAACTCTTCCAAGTAGTGACTGAAATTTTTAAAACTGTAAAAGTTTCTGGACTTCACAAATAGGATATAATTCATCCAAAATCAAGCCAATTAATTTCCACAAAAAGAGCTTCAAGAGTGTTATTTATAACTCACTAGCTGAAATCCTGCTAATTAGCATAGTAAGTTACAACTAGACCCAGGGAATCGGTAGAGATTTTGTGAGTCAACTCCTTCCTAAGTTCCATTGATTCAAACAGCTTATTCCAGTTGTGATTTAATACACAAAAGAATAAGATTTCAGCACTGATTTCAAAATACTGTACTTAAAATATCCTCAGTTAGATCAAAAATTGCAGCAACGTGCAAACAGGTGGTACATATTACTCTCAACATCTACCACCGCCCTCCTAAAACCCACAAAAATCCAGGACAAACCAAAACCAAAGCAAAAGTCCACAGTATATTTAAGACTAACAGATTTAACACCTGGAATACAGACATTACCAAGCAGAAGGTAAGTCCTGATTTTTAAGAAATTATAACAGCAAGGACCTTAGGTACATTTCTATTAACAGAAAGGATCTTCATCAGACAGAACTCAGATCTAGCAGACAATGATACTGACAGAAAACAGGCAATTTCTGCTGACTTTAACCCCTTGTCTCCCAATGCTACCCAGATGGCTTCTCAGTCCTCTGAAGCTAATAACCAGAGGGAGGGGGATATAAATGAAAGTCACTCCCATTCTTCCACTGGCAGTATTGTCCAATAAATGAAACGTCAGGTCCTATTACTGAATAGTTAGTTACAAATTACAAGGTTCATTTGGGTGGCATACTGGATACAGTCTGATCAGCCCCAATAGCTTATCTAACATAAAGTCACTTAAAGGGATTTTCATAGCATCATCTCAGTGCTCCCTCCAGTGCTTTAGAGAAAAGGCAAAGAGGCAGGATAGAAATATATAAAATAAAAAACATACAGTAACACAGGTTACATTTTCTTATAAAGCTTTGAATGATAAAGGAGAGCAATTGTGATCGCAAAATGATGTTTTAAATGGGTTTTTTTCGCTTTGTGAAAATCGGTTCCCTGCTTCGGGAACAGATTCTTCGCATTATGACGATCAAAACAGCTGATCGTCGGGTTTTCAAAATGGCCGCCGGGTGCACAAAATGGCTCCCCGCTGTGCTTAGGGACGGATTCCTCGCTATACAGGCACCGAAAATGGCCGCCGTATGGAGGATCTTCGCTGGCCAGTGAGTTTTTAGCCCATTGGAACGCAGTGAATGGGTTTTTTATTTTCGCTTTACGACGTTTTCGCTCTACAGCGATTTCGCTGGAATGAATTAATGTCGTTAAGCGAGGCATCACTGTACCATCTTTTATGTTCCAGGGACCAATGGGCAGTGACTGGCCACCTTTCTCTATAATCGCCTTCCTGTACCTTTTCTCAGAAAGTTAAAACTGTATACAACAGAGTGTTTAAATCTCAGTAAGTTAAAGCTTACAATCTTTGACTAGCCCTTATAAGCCAAACCAAAAATTGTATCACCAGATCCCTCTTCTCTCCCCGGCCCCTGCATTTTCTAATGTCTGGATCTGCGCGCATTTATTACCAAATTCTACAAATTTCAGCAGTCCTGAATAACTAGACTGCTTTAGAACAGCAGCCAAATCATATTTCATAGAATAGCTATCTTATTTAAAAGGAAACTTATTGTTTCATTCTATTTACAAAAGTAAGCTCTGTTGAAATTATCTGGAGGTACTCTTAAGCAAGTGTACATGGGATTGCAGCTTATATGGCCTAATTAGAATATGTCTGTCATATGTACAGTAAGGTGTACTACTGTAAATGTATTCGTCACTAAAACATTCCCTACACAAATCAGATGATGCTCACATTTCTGTCCAACTATTTGCATAAAACAAAGCTGGTAGTGACATTTGGGAGCACTATACGATAGCCACTGGGGTTCTCGGTCTTGTCAGGTACGTGTTTTGGACATAAAATGTGAAAACAGTGAGAATGACTTACTTTGTGCATAGGGTGCATGCCTTCTTGTGAGTAATCCCCTGGCCCCATAGTTGGCATTGGATGTGGGACACTTGGAGGTCCAGGACTTGGTCCCATCATGCTGTGTACTGAACTTGGTGAAGGGCCAGGGCCAGGGCTGGGGCCCAGTATTGGTCCTGGAGATGGACCTGGGCCTGGCGAAGGACCAGGATGAGGCATCGCGCCAGGATCTGTTGGTGTAGACATCTATGCTCTGCCTCTCTTTTTCAATCAATGGTAAAGCTGTAAAGAAGAGAGGAAAAGCACATTACGTTTGTAATTTTAAGACCAATTCTTCAGTCAGTAAAAAAAGACACATGACATCACTTAAGGTAGATTATTGCCCAAATTACATAAAAGTCACCTGAAAATATAAAAAAGCTTGAAGTGGTTCTGCATCAAAACAAACAAGCAATCAAATGAAGCTTCTCACATATTACAGCAGCCCACTATGTAAGAAACATTTAAAATGAGCAGAAGCTTTTAGACTAAAACTGTAATGTACTTCACATGGTTTGATTTTGTTTTAAATTGAACACCACCCTTGGAGTCTTTTACGAAAGGATAACTACAGTTATATAACAAAAAATATAAATAAAAAAAGATTAGGTTTCCAGAAGAAAAACTAGACTTCCTCCTGCTATTTATGAAAACTCTTAAAAAAAAACACAACTCTTATGATTCCGCTTCCCTTTTAACATGTACAATGATAAAAAGTAAGGTACTTTAATTACCATGCTAAACAATTAAAGTAAATATCTGTTACATGAAAATTAAATAAGGATAACAAAGGACTTTTGTAAACTTGGATAGTCATGACCATAACACACTTGAATCAAGCTACCTTCATGCTTCTCTTTATGTATATGATCTATCTACATGTGAAAGCTTAAAAGCACTAACTGCATAATGAACTTCCATTTTCATAGGCAATTTAGGCGCGATTTAATGCCAGACCTTTATCAATTATAATAATAATAAATATACATCATCAATTCAATTTCAACTTATGGCAAGGTTCTCAGGGTTTTCCAGGCATTAAGGACTTAGAACTGATTTACCAATCTCTCTTTCTTCTGGCACATTGGATGACACAGCTTGCCCAAAGTCATACAGATGGCAGGGCAAATACTGTAACTCTACCATCATATAAACCTCCCTCTGGCTGATGCTGGCTGGCCCCTCTCCTGGCAAGCACCCTAGAGATTCAAACTCCTGTCTCCTGGTTTTACAACAAGGTATTCCAATGCACAGAACAATGACAGCTCCTGCAATTCTCATACAGGAGAATACTGTATATATTTTTCGTTTTTCAAAGAAAAAATATACTTTTTTCAAAGGACAACAAAAATCAAAGGAGCAATGTTGACAAAATACTTAGATATCTTAGTAATGTTAACATGACTAATAGAAGCGGGGTGGGTGGGGTTGAACAGGTTACATAACAAATAATTTTCCAAAGTGGTAGCTGTATCTTAGGCTGTGCAAGCATAAGAACAAGAAACACAATACAAAAGCAAACAAAAAATAAAGACAAAGATATTGTGGCAAAATACAGATAATCCACAGGCTTCATGGCAAAATATTCATCCAGTGCTCTAAGACAGTGGTTCTTAACCTTGGGTTACTCAGGTGTTTTTGAACTGCAACTCCCAGAAAACCTAGCCAGCACAGCTGCTGGCAAAGGCATCTGGGAGCTGCAGTCAAAAAAAACTTGAGCAACTCAAGGTTAAGAACCACTGCCTAAGATAAAGGGATATGGCAATTGGCAGATGCAAGTTGCATTTCACACCTAGTAATGATTTAAGACCCATTTGGTATTCCATTCTTTTCTTTCATAGCTTTGTTTTGTCATCGTCGTTTAGTCGTGTCCGACTCTTCGTGACCCCATGGACCAGAGCACGCCAGGCCCTCCTATCTTCCACTGCCTCCTGGAGTTGGGTCAAATTCATGTTGGTTGCTTCGATGACACTGTCCAACCATCTCATCCTCTGTCGTCCCCTTCTCTTGCCTTCACACTTTCCCAACATCAAGGTCTTTTCCAAGGAGTCTTCTCATGAGATGGCCAAAGTACTGGAGCCTCAGCTTCAGGATCTGTCCTTCCAGTGAGCACTCAAGGTTGATTTCCTTTAGAATGGATAGGTTTGTTCTCCTCGAGTCCAGGAGACTCTCCAGAGCCTCCTCCAGCACCACAATTCAAAGGCATCAATTCTTCGGCGGTCAGCTGTCTTTATACTCCAGCTCTCACTTCCACACATCACTACAGGATACATTACTGTTCTGTAAACAGTGGCAATTAGCAGCTAAAGTGAACAGTAGCAGAAACAACATGTGTTAATGAGTTAAGATCACTGACTATACATTTGAAGCTTGTTCTGTAAAAGTGGCTGTGGTTAGTTAGAAAGGAAAATGACAGTAAATAACAGCATAATTATTGTAGTACTTCACATTTGGTGATGGCTTAAGAAGCCTTGGCTAATATTTAATCCATAAAATTGGGTACTAAACATATGTACATGTTTTATTCAGCTGTTTCCCTCTTTCTGCTCTGTAATTTTTCTTCTCTAGAACAGCAACTTTCAAATCCTGTGAAGAATGTCCTGGTAGACTGTAGTGATATGAGATAGGTTTCTGTATATTACCATTCATGCTGTCTGATTTATGTCCATTAATTTCTCTGCACAGAGATTGCGCCTTTTGTTCTATGTAGAGTGCAGAGGGGCACTGTTGACAAAAAATGGCACAGATCACAGTAGCAGAAAAACAAGTAAAAGCAGCAGGGCATAGTCCCCATTCCTATGTATGTGTTATATAACTCACTGTTCGTCAATATTTCCTTGAGATTGTGAGGTTGTCTGTAAGCATGTATAGGGCTGCCAGCAAGGGCTTGGGAGAGGGAGGCACTCTTGTCAAGACTGGGTCGAAGACTGTTTATGATGCATGTGAGTAGTCTCAGTTGTGTGCTGATTGTAACAACTAGAGGAGTTTGGTTGTCTATTCTTCTGGGTCTGTCTTGCAGTAGCTTACTTGTGAGGACTCGTCTTGCTCAGTTAATTTTTTTTCCTTAACCATATTGTACAGTATTGTAGTCTAAGAAATGCATTTTGTAGATCCTTGAGTTTGGAGTCGTTATCTTGTGGGTCTATGTGTGCTTTTGTCCTTATTTAGAATTGTATTCCTGATGGCTTGTAGTCTGTCTCTGTGTGGGATATTAAATGTAGAGAGTGTCTACATCCATTATGGCTAAGATTGTGTTGTCAGGGAGGTTGTGAGTAGACTGAAGGTTCCTTACAAAGTCTGTAATATTTCTTATGTAGCTAGGAGTGCTGGTGGCCTATGGTTTGAGTACAGAGTCCACATATCCAGATACCTCAATAGTAATAGTATTAATGCTTGATACCATGGGCCTACCGAGGTTCCGTGGCTTGTGTATTTTTGGTATCAGGTAGAAGGTGGCTTGTTGAGGTTCTTGCAGTGTGTCAGTCAGTTCGCGTATATTTTCACAGGGATGTTTATCATAAGGGTTTGTAATTCCTTTTGGTATTTATCAGTTGGATCTGTTGTTAGGAGCTGTTAAAATTCTATTATCATAATTATCACATGCTGTCTGGCTAAGATAGTATGGTAAATAAGTCCCGTGTTGATTGTCAAATTCTCTGTTCTGACCCTCTGGTGGAATTCACATACAATTCTTCTTTCTGTGGTGCTGGAGGAAGGTGGGTGTGGTTTGGTGTAAAGTTAGTCCTCATGTTGTTGGGACACTTCCTTCTCATGCTGTGGAGAGTGGGGTACAACTTGTATGTTGTCATGCTGGTTGCTGTCAAAGTTATGGAAATATTGAGTTGTAGTCTGTCGAAAAAAAGCCTCAAGGACAAGCCCCATGAAAGGATTGACTCTTCTGCTTGGCTTTGTGTGTTGCTGGATACATTTGTGATGTTATTGTGTACGTTTGTGGTGTTCTTCTAGTGGGCCAGGCAGTTATTTAGTAGATTACATTTGTTTCTTTCTTTTTCTTCAGGGAAGTAAGGTGTGCATCCCAGACGTTTTTTCTTGTGGTGGAAAATATTTCTGTAGTATCCAATGCAGAGGATGCATGATTCTGCATGCATGGCTAAAGATCTGCAATATCCCTTCTGAGTTTTCCTTTGCTTGCTATATGAGATGCTGATTAGGTGGTTCAGTAATTTTTTGGAGAGAGTGTTGCATAATCTTTCACCATAGTCAGTGGGATATGTGGATCATAAAAGAGTTTTTCACTGTAAGTCCTTTAGGGATGCAGTCTTGTTTGCATTTCATGACATAATTTTCTATGTTCCAAATATAGGTGGAACATCTCATATCTGCTTTTGTGAGAGAGAAAGCAAAAGGTGTACCTGCTCAGATAAAAGCAACCAAAGCTACTATTTTAATATTATAATTTTAATAGGCATATGATGCAACTCTACCCAGTAGGTTTTTCAAGGTTGTAATTCTATGCCATATGTGAATGCATTAAGTTTCTAATCAGACTCTCATAAAAGCTGTACTCTTTTCTTTCTCACATGGGTGTTTTTCTGCTTAATATAGCTCATCAAAGTCCTCGATCTTTGCAGACCCCTCCCTCTAAACAGTTTTCTTTGCATCACATTGTTTAGCAGGCCACTCCTACTGAAAAGATTCACACATGGAAAGAAGGATGGAGCTATTTAATACCCTGTTGGGAAAGAAGAGCTCTCTTTACAGCAGTGGTTCCTAATCTTAGGTTCCCAGATGTTCCTAAAATACATTCCCAGAGGCCTTCACCACTACCTGTGCTAATTTCTGGAAGTTGTACTCCAAGCACATCTGGGGATGTAATCTTAGGTTCCCAGATGTTCCTAAAATACATTCCCAGAGGCCTTCACCACTACCTGTGCTAATTTCTGGAAGTTGTACTCCAAGCACATCTGGGGATTTAAGATTGGGAACCACTGCTTTAGAGGATATGAGATGTCCAGGGAAGGGGGGGGATCCTTCAACTGCCAAAGCCTGGAATATTACGTACTTTCTCCACCATTAGGCTGGTTTCTGCCAGAGTGGAATTCAGATTGAATGATATTATCAATACTGTATTAAACTCTCTAAGCTGCAATACTCACCAGCTACATATACAGCTCCCTGAATTAGTTAACCCCATTGTTGGATATATTCCCAACAGGCCTTCAAAACGCCAACTTTCAGGACTTCAGAAAGCACCTTCTCAGATCATGCACTTTCGCCCACCG